CAACCACACAAGTAGTTTAGGTTCTCGTTTAGTTTTTTTCTTTACATAATTGTAAGAAAAAAATTCATTTTGAACAAATGACATTATCTTCACTAAGGGGAGGGGATGGACTTAGCATCACAATGGGCTGACAATAATCTGGTTCAAATTTCACCTTTGGCAAGAATCGAACCTAAGACCTCTCACTTACAAGTGAAGAAGAATACCACTAGATCTTAGTACTAAGTGGCAAGAACAATTTTATTTTGAATGTAATTAAATATTGTTTTAAAGTTTCCATTAATTTAGTATTTTAGATTGATATAATTAGAATTAAATAAATTATTTACATTAAATATTGTTTTAATACCCAATATATTCACAAAAAAAAATTAAAAAGGTTAGCCTGACGAATATTTGTTGAGCAAATTTTTATTTTATTTTATTTTTTGGTTTAAAACAGTTATCCGATGAAAATGTCATCGGGTCAAAATTTTAAGAGTATTTAATTTGGTGTAAGGCGACGAAACGACGTTGTCGAGTAAGATATTTTCATCAGATTAAGGCAGTCAATACACCGTTACCCAATGACTTCTTTCGTTGGGCAAACTCAATTTTCTCAGCAAATAACTTCTTTTCGTCGGGTAGGAGTTCAAGTGATGGCTTTTGCTCAACCAACATTTCCCAACGGCCTAAAGTTTTAGACAACAAAAACCCATTTGACCTAACAAAAAATTTATGTCTGACAAGGTTTTTTTTTATTTTTTATTTTTTTATTTTTGTAGTGTTGTATAGAACCACATGGTGTGAGAACTACACGTAGACGTGAAGTTGAGTTTAAATCATGTCGATATATTGTCAACTTGAGTAGATGTGTAAGGTACTGTATGTGGAGTATCTTAGTGTGGCTCCAAGTTTCAAGAGGCTTTCCTTGATTGATTTCCCCTTTAAGAGGAGGTTAAGTACGTTTGTCTAAATTTACCTTCTCATGCATAGATAGAGATACCATTGACGGTTGAATACTTGGATTGGTCTATGATTGGTAAAAGGAAGTGAACTGAGTTTTCTAAACACATATTATATATTGAGATGCAATTATGGGAGGTTTTGCATTTCAAATTAATTTCAGAGTAAATGGCTGTGGATATTGACTTATTTTCCATCATTGTTCATTTCGAGCTAGGGTCGCTTAATCTTTTTTCCATACAACATCGACGTTACTATATCTTCGACCTAAATTGGCTATCAAGGTGGATTCTAAATACATTTCATCGACGTTACTATGTTTTCAGTGAGGTATTTGTAGCTAGATTCCATATCCATCATGAACTTCCGGTACTTTGATATGTTACATTGTCAATATTTGATTGATATTATCAGAACATCGTCAAAACAAACTGCATTTTTTTTCTCTTTCTCCATCGGTAACTAATCCTTAAGCGGTTACCTAGTGGCATTGGTGCAGAAATGGTGTTCAACAAAGAAAATCTTTCAACTACAAATTGAAAATCAAAGTTGTATAGATGTGGTGTCCAAATTAATCATTAAGCAGCTACGTACCTAGGGAAACCAAATTTTAAACCAAATTTGCAAACCAACACTAGTACAAAATCTGTTTTGCATGATGGAAACTTGTGCGACGAAGCAAATTCGGTCGCGCAAAGTATGTTTGTGCGATGGCGACAACAAAACGTCACACAAAGAAATTTTGCGTGACGGAACTTTGCGCGACGAAGCATAACGTCACGCAAAACAGTTTTGTGTGACGGAGATGTACGTGCGTCACCCAAAAATTTTGTGCGCAAACAAAACTGTTTTGCTCGACTTTATGCTTCGTCGCGCAAAACGTTTTGCACGACGTACATAGACCTTCGTCACGCAATGTTTGGAAAAAAGCGGTAAACATCCTTGGTTTCGCGCTAAAATATTGCAGGAAGCAAAATTGCTTCGCACAAACGACCTTTGTGTGACGAATGTCTCATTCGCCACGCAAAACTATTTTGCGTGACGTCACATTCGTCGCGCAAAGTGGACGACTTTTAAACCAGTTTCAAACCTTCTAGCTAGCTTATTGCATACATTACATAGGCACTTGTGTTAATTTTGTTTGGATTTGATCTATGTACGAATGCATACAAAGATTTCCTTTCACTGCTTTAATGGGTATATATAGGTGTCAAAGTATTATTTTCTTCTCGAAGTGGCGTGCAAGACTTTGTATTGTAATTAAGTATTTACTTTGTTCTATGTTTTTGTAGAAGTCATGAAGGGGTTAATAAGTTTCTGATTTCATCATCTTGTAGGAATCATTCCAAAGATTGTTGCACAAGCAAGATGGAACTAGAGCTGAGTGGGAATATCCATCTGATGTAGCTGGCATCAATATTTCCTTTGTCTTGGCACAAATGTTGGATCTTCAATCAGGTACTGAAATTTTCAAGTGAGAGGATGGAAAATCTTATACTGTCAGATAACTATTCGATGAGAAAGCATCACCTTAGCATGTTCATTTGAAGAGTTCTCTTATTCCTCCACCAAATTTTGAATTATGATGTTGTGTTTATAATTTTTAGGTGTTTAATTTGATTTCATGTTCATTAAATCTTTGCTTACCAAGTTTAAAGGATGTTAATTCATTGGAGGAAGCAATTTCAATTTTAAAGGGTATAATGTATTGCCCTGCATTCTAGTGGATTTGTCCACATTTTGGGTTGTTCCAGGTTCTCCATTACTCAAGAATTTAGAACCATAATGTATTGCCTTGCATATATATTCGCTTATGGACAAACGAGCAGTGGGAAGACATACACAATGAGAGGGATAACAGAGAAAGTTGTCATTGATATCTACAATCATATAATCAATGTAAGTTTAATCATCACAAACTAATAACAATTATGAAAGTTATAGTGAAGATTGTTGCTTTGAAACTAATGTACTCAGATTGTTTGGTTGCAAACTCCGGAGAGAGACTTTACAATAAAAATCTCTGGACTTGAAATATACAACGAGAATGTGAGGGACCTGTTAATGTGGAAAGGTACCGTGGTTGAGAAGATGGTGGAGGAAATTGCAAGCAATGATCAGCATTTAAGACATTTAATCAGCATTTGTTTCCTTAAATGTTGTGCTGCTGCATTCTTTAAATGTTGTCCTGCACAAAAACAAACCTTACAAATTGCAATGTATATTTTTTTCCTTAATTTAAAAGTTTAAAGTCTATACTCTCTCTCTATAAATATATAGGAGAAACCAAAAGCAGAGCTGAAAAAGCACAAAGTCACAAAACAAAGATAAATTTTGATTCTCGTTTCAATCAACCACAAGTTCATTTTTGGATTTTGGAAGAATTGAAAAGAAAATCAGAGGGGTTAGGTTTGGATTTTGGATGTTATTTGGTTTTTTAAAATATAACTTTGCGCGACGTACCAGCGAATACGTCACGCAAGGCTGCTTGCGCGACGTGCAGACAATGCGTCACGCAAATACTATTTGCGCGACGTACCAGCGAATGCGTCATGCAAAGGCTGTTTGCGTGACATGTAGACAATGTGTCACGTAAAGATTGTTTGCGCAAAGTACAAGTCAATGCATCACGTAAAGGCATTTTACGCGACGTAATAATGAATGCGTCACGCAAAGTGTTTTTATTACTTTCATCAAGTAAGATTTTGTGGTATCAACTAGCGTAAATATTTTAAATTGACAATCAAATTCGTTCATTGTATTCATATAGGATCAAGGAGTGTAGCTGTAAAAAAATCACCAAAATCGGAGTTAAAACTACCGTTAAATCGTGAATTTTCGTTTATAACCGTCCAAATGTTTTGTCCCGTTACTTGATATCCGAACGTTTGTTTTTTGTGATGTTTTGCGTATACGGTCTCGATGCATATACAAATAAGTTTGACGGTTCGATCGTTGAAATTAGTTTTGTACAATCCGTATCCCATCAAAACGATAGATTTACTAACACTTTTGGAATTTATTTATACTTTCATTAAGTATAACAAAAGATTTTGTGGTATCCACTAGCGTAAATATTTTAAATTGACGATCAAATTAGTTCATTGTATTCATATAGGATCAAGGAGTGTAACTGTAAAAAATCACCAAAATTGGAGTTAAAACTACCGTTGAATTGTGATTTTTCGTTTATAACTGTCCAAATGTTTTGTCCAGTTACTTGATATCCGAACGTTTGTTTTTTGTGATTTTTTTGCGTATACGGTCTCGATGCATATACAAACAAGTTTAACAGTTCGATCGTTGAAATTAGTTTCATACAATCCGTATCCCATCAAAATGATATATTTACTAACACTTTTGGAATTTATTTATACTTTCATTAAGTTTAACAAAAGATTTTGTGGTATCCACTAGCGTAAATATTTTAAATTGATGATCAAATTAGTTCATTGTATTCATATAGGATCAAAGAGTGTAACTGTAAAAAAATCACCAAAATCGGAGTTAAAACTACCGTTGAATCGTGATTTTTCGTTTATAACCGTCCAAATGTTTTGTCCCATTACTTGATCTCTGAACGTTTGTTTTTTGTGATTTTTTACGTATATGATCTCGACGCATATACAAACATGTTTGACGGTTCGATCGTTGAAATTAGTTTCGTATAATCCGTATCCCATCAAGTTCAATGGTATATATATTTATTAAGTATATTTAAATTTATTTATTTTGTATGTATAACACTTAAGAAATTGAATGATATATATATTTATTAAGTAGCTTTAAATTTATTATTGTAGTTCTGGTCGAGTTTTTGTTAGAAAAATATATTATTGTGGGTTTTATGTAAAAAAAAATTGATTTTGAAAGGAATAAAGTCATTTAATCAGTCATTTTTATAATAATTTTTTTTTAAAAATACCTTGAGCGACGCCTTAATGTAGTCGTCGCACAAAAATAATTTGCGTGACGTCAACTTGAATACCTACGTCACGCAATTTGTTATAATATTGGCGTGCAATTGTAAAAATTAGGCAGTTTTTTTGAAATTTCCAAGTTCGGACATGCGCCCTTTCTTATACCCGGACTCCCTATCACTAGGTCTTTCTCCCATAGCCTTCCTTATCATCTCGCCCTTTCTCTCCCTCTCTCTCCCGTAGCCTTCCTCATCATCTTCTTTATTTTGAACTTAAACCTCTCTTTTGAACCCAGATCTATCTCCCTCTCGTTGTAAACAACGGGCAGCCACCACCCCTTCGTCATGCTTGTCTCTCTCCTTGAAGGTAAGTCTAATTACAAATTATGAAATTGTGAAATTAAAGATTTTGATTGTGAATTGAGATGAATTTTAGAATTTAGGGTTTTAATTTGGGATAAATTACTAAGGCATGTGATGGATTTCAAGGTTTAAAAATTTGTAAATGGGATTTAGGGTTTTAAGTTTGAAATGGAGATTGAATCAGGGTTTTTATTTGGGATAATTTATTACGAAATGGGCTGAATTTTAGGGTTTAAGAATTTCATTTTTGTTGTTTCTTGTTTGCAGTTTGAAGATATTTTGGTATAGATTTTCAATTCTCAGCCAACTAGCAGGTATTGACCCAGATTTTCAATTCCCTCATCTGCGTTAAGTAACACGCTGCTTGTAGTCCCTTGTACATCTGAATTCTTTTTGAATTGCATGATGGAATTCTTTTTGTGTTTTCATGTGCTTAAGTTTGAGTTTTTATATGCTTGTTGTCTTCTGGGTTTTTGTTGTTATTGTTTTTGTTCTTGTGTTTCTTACTAGAGTGTTTACTAGGCATGCCTCAGCCAATGCATATTCATCACTGGATTATCTTCTTAGTGGTAAATACTTGAATTCTAGCAACAGTGGCAAAAAAGAAATGATCTTATTTTCATTTCTTATGTGTCAATTTTAAACCTGTTAGCTGGTAACTATTTTGTTTTAATCTCAATCAACATATTACTATTAATGCATTGTTATCTGTATCTTTGATGGGTTGTGCAGATTCAAATTGGGATCCGCCATTTAATTTTGATAAGTTGATTGAAATTAGTACACACAAAATCATCAACACTGGTCAGCTTCTATTGATTCTGTGGAGCACAAAATCATCAACACCAGTCAGCTTCTATCTTTAAGATTGCGGAATCTTCGTTCCTAATTGATTATGTGGAGCATTAAATTTTTTTGCTAATTTGCTAACTATTGTTTACTGGGCATGACTAGAAATGGACTGTTGTGTCATCCTAATTTAATATGATAATCTTGATAGGTGAACATGTAATTCTTTATTTTGTTTTCCCTAGGCTCCTAATCCCTAAAATTACTTTTGGAGAGGATTAATCTTTTTTATTTTCACATTTCATAATATTAGATAATCTTTACAATGTCTGCTGACTAGAGTGTTTACTAGAGTGTTCACCATGTTTTAGTTCATACTGATATAATGAAGTTTTGGTACCATTGATTGATTACAATGTTTGCTTACTAGAGTATTTGTAGCTGAGGGCCAAGAACAAGCAGATGAAGGCCTAGGGCGAGCAGATGAAGACCCAGATTAGGACCCAGGACGACCAGATGAGTATGATTCTACAGGCCTTAGCGATGTCCGGTCTTAAAATCCAGCTGCCAGCACCTAATCTTTGTTGGAGTAAAATCTGGTTCTCACAAGGTTTTGTGGTCTCACAATCATTGTACATTACTTGAGGATCAAGTTATAGGATTAGGGAATTAACTTGGACTTTTCCGGTTGCAAAAGGAATGTAATATTAAGTTGTTATTCTTGCTAAAGGGGTTCCTAATCCTGATTGGTTAAGGAGATATAGACATATTCAGTTACCTATTAGGTCTCAATGATGGGCTAAGCCTATTAGGTAAATATGCCTATATAAGTGAAGGTCCCTGCGTTTGCTGAAATACGCAATATTCACAAACTCCCCATACGGTTTGATTGCTAAGGATAAGTACAACGTAGAAGATTCTTTGCACACCAAGGTTTCACGCATGGCGTCTCCATGTTAGTTACTTACATGTGTTTTAATCTATATAGGCTAATAAAGTTTTACATGTGGTATCAGAGCGTAGCTTGTATGATTAAGACCTTAAAAGAAAATTAAATTAGAAAACTCGGTAAAGTTCCTTTTCTGTCGTTCATCATGTTCTAGTTTATAGTTTTCTGGTTCAGTTTTTTGCCTTAAAATAATTACGCATGATGGCTGCTATGTTTTTCAATTATCTGGCATTCAAAGTGGATGATGGGTTTACATTATTATATTGTTGTGCATGGATGCCGTGTTAATTAACGTATTGCCAATATAAGGACTAATTGAAAGACATTGAAACTGGACATATATTTGCATGATGGATTGTTTCCAGGTTCTAGAAAGACATGTCTGATATAAAGATTAATAATATGACATGCATAAAGTAATATATGATCAAGTTTTTAGGTATCACTTGGTTGATATCGATTAAGCAAGCCGTAGCGGCTTAATTGATTTGAGTGGTCTCTAAATCCAAAGTCCTATTGATCAAATTGTGTTGTTTTAATTATAACGATTACGATAATCTTCTTGCTCGTAAGTGTGGATTATTTTAATTGGTTCAATTAGACAATAGCATGGTATGGAATATATACTGTAAGAATTTGTGGAAGGTTTTCTTCTTGCTCGTAAGTGTGGAAATTTTTTCATGAAAGTAATTCTTATAACTATGTATTTTAGTGCCACATACATATTAACTTTCTTGCCCGTAGGTGTAAGTTAATTATGTTTTGAAGTTTATGGGGATTAAGTATTTATTGTTTGTTTAAATCTTCAGCAGTCAATGTTGGATGATCCACTCAATAAAGCTCTTCCTAATGCAGCGTTCCATGTGCATGTGAAAAGCATGGGCTTAGTTTTCGATTTTGATGCACTGAATTAGTGGGAGATTCATTTATTTTAGTTAGTTCCCTTGCATTGATTCTGGAGTTAAGTCAGTAAAACTATTAGTTTTGGTTGGTTCGTGAGTTTGGATTATAAAGTTTGAAGCATTTTCAATTATTTTTATTATGAACTTGTTGATTGTTTTATATATTTGTGTGACTGTTTGAATGCAGCTATCAAGTAAAAAGTAAAGTTAATGCTTTAAAGTCACAAGCATTTACAAGATGATATGAAGAATGTTTTCAGATACTGTTTTCATTAAGAGTAGAAAACTAAGGTGTTCTGATACAGTTACACCAGTCATCATGCTAGCACTGACTGGGTTTTGGACATAAGGTTTCAGTCGTTATTCTTCATTTTTTTAATAGTTTTGGAGGGCTTCGGTTGAAGCATTAAGCAGACTTCCATGGTTTGATCAAGGAGGACCTTAGAAATTAAAATATCAATATATTACGTCAAGTCTGATATTTATATTTCGATTTTCTCACTTATTGATGTTTCATGTGATTAACCATGCTCACATATGTGATTATGAAGACTATGGACGTTGCTCTTGTCCAATAGACTTGTTAGTTCTATGTGATTGTGCTAATTCACAGAAGCTATAAGGAACTTTGAGTTTAAGTGATTTCCATGGCCACTAAAGTAATCCTGATTTGTTTTCTCTTAAGTTAAGTTTCATACAATGCTTGTTTCGACCAAGTGGGAGAATGTTGGAATAAAATCCGGTTCTCACAAGGTTTTGTGGTCTCACAATCATTGTACGTTACTTGAGGATCAAGTTATAGGATTAGGGAATTAACTTGGACTTTTCCGGTTGCAAAAGGAATGTAATATTAAGTTGTTATTCTTGCTAAAGGGGTTCCTAATCCTGATTGGTTAAGGAGATATAGACATATTCAGTTACCTATTAGGTCTCAATGATGGGCTAAGCCTATTAGGTAAATATGCCTATATAAGTGAAGGTCCCTGCGTTTGCTAAAATACGCAATATTCACAAACTCCCCATACGGTTTGATTGCTAAGGATCAGTACAACGTAGAAGATTCTTTGCACACCAAGGTTTCACGCATGGCGTCTCCAGGTTAGTACTTACATGTGTTTTAATCTATATAGGCTAATAAAGTTTTACAATCTTCCCCCACCTTTGACCTCCTAGCCACTTCGTCTAGCTGATACCTAGTAGTTTGATGTATCAAACCTAGAAGACTACTTATTGTAGTTTTTTCTTTTTTTGTTCGTACATCTTGTATGTACATTTTCATATAGTTTACAATTAAATACTTTTTATTGGTTATTATTTATTGTTTAGAATTGAATTACAATATTTATTAAAAATTAAATCAAAAATATTTTTGTCCCAAAAAAAAAAAAAAAAAAAAGTTTGCCTGACGAAGAAGTTGCATAGGTCACGCAAAGTGTCTTTGCGTGACGTAGGGAAATGCGTCACGCAAAGTGGGTTTGCATGACCAATAATTCTATGTCGCACAAAGTGGGTTTGTGTGACATAGGATTGTGCATCACGCAAACCCACTTTGCGTGACATACATTATTTCTTCGTCGCTCAAACCCTGCTTTCACAGGCTTGGCACGTGACGAAGGTTCGTCGCACAAATTTTTGCGCGACGAAGGACTTACGTCACACAAAGTGTTTTCTGTACTAGTGCAATTGATGTGTCATCGATAAGAAACAAGCACATTAATCGATACTTAATGAATAATCCAATCATCTATAACCACATTATTTGGTTTGCAAATTTTGGTTTAAAAAATTTGGGCTCCCTAGCATTACCCATATGGTAATTGATGCTTTGGTTGTTTCAGAATCGTACGTGCAGTGTAGCTAGAAAGTAGTTTGAAACCCCACAACCTATATAGTGCAACATTGTTATACATCGCAATAGCTTGCCAATATACTCTGTCTCGAATAATGCTTGTAGATGTGATAGATTGGTAGGTTTTGTTATTTACCTAATAACAAGGTTCCTTGAATCCCGAACAAGAATTTTCAAAAGCAACAAGTACACTTCACCTAATGTGTTGCTTTTTCTTTGATAAACAATACATAACAAACTGCAAGCAATACGACCTTCAGTTTTATTTTCTATGTTGTTGTGCTGCAACGATCATGTGATGTAGTTATTGTAGTCAACAAGAATTAAATTAGAATTAACATTTGGTGATCATTGTGTGGTATGAAAGGGGAAAAACCCTATTAAGCAACTTATCGGTGTTTCGCTTTAAAATTTCTTGGTACTAGAATTTCAGATGTCAAAAAAGGTGCTCATGAATAGAAATGCTAACGTAGTCGGTTATGTAAATAATTGATAGTTGATAATTAGACATTGATGGGTGTAGTGTTACCATATATAAATTACACACCCCTTTGGTGTAGTTTAATTACAGTCATGTAGGCGCACATGGTTGAACTAACTATATAATAACATATTTATCCTCGAGAAGTTTATGTTGAAGAATGTAAAATTCGACAGTAAATCAAGGGATACTTTGGATGCGATCCTAATCACTAGTGTACATTGATTGAAACCCTATTAGTTTTTAGATTTTGATCAAAGTCCTTTGACTTTGTACACATCATCATATTAGCATTAATCAATATCCATATCAACTATTTTATATTTTAAATTAAACATTATATTGAATATTGTAAATAAAATAAGGTACCACATTTATGGGATATAAAGTCCTATAAGATTTGAAATTTAACGTTTATGGGATTAAACAACAAACTCCACCCTTAGAAAACCTTAAACCAATTAAAAATTGGTGATTTAAATGTGGAAAATAAGTTATGAAAAAAAATGTTTCTCTATTGAATGTCATGATAAAAGATAAATCTTCCCATAAGAATGTACCCATGTACAATAATAGTACACAAGAATGTACCATATACAATTTCAACATTAAAACCCACATGTGACAACAAAAAAAAAAAAAAAAAACAATGTACCCATATAAAGTCTTAATGTAAAAAATGATTAAAGGATAGAAAAAGGAAGCAAACCATAAGACCAAATTACTTAAGAGTACATACTATATAAATCTTATAGGAAAAAGTACCCATGTACAATTATAGTAATTCACAAGAATGTACCCATATACAATTTCAACATTAAAACCCATATGTGACAACAACAAAAACAAACAATGTACCCATATAAATTCCTATTGTAAAAAATGATTAAATGATAGAAAAATGGAAGCAAACCATAAGACCAAATTACTTAAGGGTACATAATACATAAATCTTATAAGAAAAAGTTATACATATATGGGTACAAAAAAATTTAGAAGAAAAAGTTACAATGGTAGTATATAGAATAAAATTTGGGTACATGGATTAAGGAACAAGAGAAGAGAATGTACCCAATGAAATTAAAATTGCATTCATAACAATACAATGGTCATTTGTTATCATTTTGCAATATGATGGTCATGGAGAAAAAAAAAAGTTAGAAAATTTTTTGGCGAAATTTAAATTTGAAGATACATATTCAATATAATAATGTTGAATTTGAATATAAACATAAATTTGAGTGAGAGAATTTTGGGATTTTTAGTTACAAACGTGATAATGTGGGAGAAATTATAAATTAAAATTTGTTGTAAAAATAAATAAAAAGATGGCATGGAAGTATTTTAATAGTAAAATGTTGAGGTGTACAAAGCTAAGAGACTTTCATAAAAAACTGAAAACCAATAAAGTTTCAATCTATGAATATTGGTGACTAAGGGACTGGATCCTAGTTTTTTCTTTAAATCAAACTCAGTTTATATTGAATGGTTCAACTACAAATTGCATGGAGGTCTTTTGTATAAAACCCCACATGCACATGTTGAACTGCTAAGTTAATGTTGACAGTCACTAAAACACCGACAATTGCAACAAAT